TCGTCTACTAGGACATTAGCCCATGACAGGGATAGATGCTTTTCTTTAATAAGTTGACTCCGTATCGATGGAGTGGTGGACAGTATTACGTGACGGCAGTTTTCTTTTGTATTGCCTTTTTTAAGTGAAGTGCTAATTCTGGTGGATGTCATGAAGTCCATTTTAGTTATCCCGTGAAGGGATTCGTTTTGCTCATACACAGTTTTTATTATGTCATCCTCTTCCACGGATTGCGGGACATTTAGTAAAATAACCCGCGGCCGTCTGCCTTCAGAGATCTTTGTCTTAATTATAGGTTGGATTTGCGGGAGGTCTTGTATAGCTTGTTCTAGTACTGTGGCATCCCTCTTACTGCTAGTATGGAAGCACCACCCGTCACCCTTCACCGGTTTAATGGCAGTGACTTTGATCTTAAGTTTATCCGGCTTCACGTCTTTGAAGATACTCTGCTTGACTTCCCCCATATTTACTTTTTCTCCATCAGTGCCATTAGGATAGACTATGACAGCGTAGCTACTGCTACACCCTTCGTTTTTAATTTTCTTATTTATTGACTTGGAGATCGTTTTTGTTGTGTTGCTTTGTGAAATATTAGTCTTAACCATATCAGAATAAAGTGGTGTTATCCTTATTTGGTTCTGGTCGCATTGGCAACGTGGTTGTTGTACTACCGTGTTTTCCTTTGCATTCCTTAGTTCGACTATGCTTCCATAAAGCTTATTAATCGTGGCAAACATAGCCGCGGCTCTCTCCTTAACTTCCCTCTTCTCTGGAACCGAGGGATATAATTTGCTCGGTTGCGGGAGCAGTTCCATGATCCTTTGAAGATGTTCATTAGCTTCCGCTAATAGCACCGCTTCCAGAGTTGTAGAAAACCCATCGTTGGTGATGACCATAGACGTGGATGTTTCTTCACACTCCGTATCAGAGGAGTCGTAGTCCTCTTTTGGATCACTCATTATACACAATTATAATTAAAATTATTAAATTGTTATTCTACTGACTAAATTAATAATAATGCACACCGAAAGGGCCTTTACCAGCTGCTAAACGATAAATTATAACGTATGAAGCCCAGAAAAATTTTTCCAAAAATTAATAAATTTGGTAAAAGGATCAACTTCACAAAAAAGGGTAAAAATTATCGTGCCGAATGATATACGGTACACGTCCGAGCGACAAAAACGACCCGAGAAAAAGCCGAAAGAAGCCACCGAAATAGGGTCGACTATGATGATGACCCGGCCACGTGTTGATAACAATGACCTCTGACTTCTTTGTTTTCGTCTAGTTTAAAAAAGCCCGTAAATCCTTAAATAATTTACCCACGATCACCAAAATTTCACAGAAGGTAGCTTTAACAACGTTAATCGAACTATCTAAGTATAGAAATAATCGATAGCCCGATCAACCCGCACGACGGCCCGAAAACGAACAACTAACGGTCGTGATATCTCACGAACAAAAAGCCGTAGCAAAAAAAAACCGTAAACGGCGGATAAAAGAACTTTCCGAGCCGAGTAAAATGATGTATATGATTAACCGCTAGGTCCGGAAAACGCCCGTAAAAAGTGGTCGGAAAAGCGGAAATATCCAAGTCGCGTAACTTCCGAACCGCTATTCCGATCCGAATAAAACTAGTATTATTCGATAGCTTACCGTTAGCTAAATAAAATAATACCATATAATCCACAGATTGATCAATAATAACGGCGATGCGTCGATCGATAGCAGGAGCGATGTTGGTCACGTCCTATCCGTTCGGCGGAACCCCTATTCCCTCAGGAGTATGACAGGAGTAGATAAAGCTTGCTATAAATCAGCAGGCAGTAAAAGAACGTCATTATTGTTTCAAGCCAATTTCTTTTTTTTTTTTTAGTTGCTGTTTTACAGCATCAACTTTGGGATTTGCCACTGTTGCAATATGGGCAGCAATAATATAATACCAGTATCCACATCATGAGCAATCCTAATCAGCATTAATAGTTATTAGAATGAAAGTTTGATTGTTGTATATACCATGTTTCCCCGAAAATAAGACAGTGTCTTATATTAATTTTTGCTCTGAAAAATGCGCTAGGTCTGATTTTCAGGGAATGTCTTATTTTTTCCAGGAAGAAGAATTCACATTATTGAACAAAAAAATTCCCAAGTTGAACTTAGATGAGAGTGACGTATATACGGTGTGTTGAACTGTCGCCTTTTTATAGCGTCAACATCGGACTCGATGACCAATTAGTGCTTATTGAACCGTAGCACTATGCAAATGTCATGTGGCGTGATTCCCGGCCGACCAATTAGCCATCACCAGCCGTAACGTTATGCAAATCTGTGATTCCCAAGCCACAGTCTTATGCAAACCATGCCGTGTGGCGTAATTGTCTGCTGACCAATCAGTGGCTATACTTTCAAAAAGCCAACGGCCACTTTCAACCATATGTCGATGACCGTTATGACTAAAAGAAAACTTCGCTAGGTCTTACTTTCAGGGGGAGGTCTTGTATTTCACAATTCAGCAAAACCAGTGCTAGGTCTTATTTTCTGTGGATGTCTTATTTTTGGGGAAACACGGTATCAAATATGCAAAATTTCTAATTTCTTCTAAAATTCTAGCTTTTTGTGAGATATGCCATTATTGTAATCAGCTCTACAAATGATGTCATCCTCCCAACCAAAATTTTATGATGGTCTTATAATTAATAATGTAAAATTTAAAAAATAATCAGAAATTACAAAAATTAAAAAATAATTGGAAATGAATGAAAGAATGCCAACTTGAGAAGTTATTTTCAGAATAATTTTTATCCTACAATGTTTAGTAGCTAGAATGGCAGGAACACCACTATGGAAAGAGCAAAATTGGGTACATTTTTGCTCTGGATTACTTTAAATCAAATTAAACAGTAAAATAAATGCAAGATGATTCATCTACACTAAACAAGTTTCAAAATGATATATGAAACATAACTGTGATTCTGCTTCACCTTAATAAATAGAAACTAAAAACTAGATTTTCCTTTAGTATTGATTACATATATAATATATCTATATCTATATATATATATATAAATGGACATGTGTGTCCCTATATTTCACTTTTCCGCCAAACCTACACATCGCACGTGAATGGTGTTTGTATGTGGTAGTAGCCCCAAGTCTCCATTCGTGCACCAGAGGGGTTGCGTCTCGACAGCTATAAGGGTGCGGGAGATATGGGCTTGAAAGTGGTTGAAAGTGGCTTTCTATTTTGAATGTTTTGTTCAAATTTAATTCTAATATCGTTTGAATTTGTTCGAACAAATTCAAACAATATTAGAATTAAATTCGAACATAAAATTAGAATATTGGTTTGATTATAGAACGATTGTAAACGTTTCAGAAACGTTGAAAATAGTTCGTTTGACTGGACGTGAACAGGAGACGTTCAGAAATAGAATCGGAACCAGGAAGTGTTAATATAAAGCGCATGCAAGATTTACAGGCGGTTTTTTGTGCTTTTGTGGGAAATCAAACATATTTTTATGCTCATGTAAAAATTCTCTGGAAACGTCTGGAAACGGGAGACCTAATTCTTGCATTTTCTGAAAACGGGTAAGATTGGCTATAATGTAATTATCTTAATCTTCACTATCGTTACTTTTTGCCCACAAATAAAAACCCAGCGAAGCGGGTTCTTGCAGCTAGATTCTAGATTACTTAGAAAAACAGTCTTTTATATATAAAAATAAACTATATTACATACAAATGTACGAACAAATAAAAACCCAGCGAAGCGGGTCCTTGCAGCTAGTAATATATATATTGATTAAATAATAGTAAATCATATTTTAAAAATTGAATTTAATAATAAATTTATGTATTAAAGTTAAATAGAGTATAACTGATTGTAAGACTAAGAAAATGCTATTTAAAATAATATGGAGGAAGAAAAAATATAAACTAAAATATGAAAACATTTAAGAAACAGGATCTTTTATACTATTGGCAAACCAAACAAATATATATCATCCATGCATACCATCTCTTCAAAGACTATTCAGGACAGCATCAAAGAAATGTGGGAATCTATATGCAGAGACAGTTGGTTTTATAATGAAAAATCATGACGGAGTAATAGCAATAAGCAATTATTTATTGTGATATTGTCACAATGACGAGATGTAATTTTTAACCATGTTTTTAATTTATTTAACTTAAAATATATGCTCTCCTCCTCAAATTAGTAGTGTCTTGCCCCCGTACATCATACTTTTCCTTTAACAATAGAATCATGCCAATCATTGATCTACACCTTTCAGGGGAAATTTTTGAATTGAAATAATGTGACTTCCGGTTTGCATTGGAAGTATAAACATCACACTAAACCTGATACATTGCAATAACACTCCTTTAACTGCCATATATCATTGGGCTATAATTTGACAATAATAATTATAAATTACTAATAAATTTTACTAGAGAGTTATTGCATTGGAAGTTCTTATATAATTAATAGGGGCCTCCTGCCAGTAAAATTTCTATATATGGTCTCGGATTTCATCTATCTAACTCCATTCTCAAGATTAAGGAAAGACAGAAGATGAACAGACAAACAAACAGATGGACAACAGTGGGAATTTATACTGTAGGTCTACAATTTTTTCAAACTGCAGCCCAACTAGCATACCACTTTACACATACTTCTATCCAGGAGTTGGCTTTCTCTTCATCCTTACATCTGGATATTTTAAATCTTGACATCATTGTTAAACCTATCCATTGATGGTCTACTGCAGTGTTTTTCAACCTGTGGGTCGCGACCCACAGGGGGTCGCAAAGCCTTACACGGGGGATAGCGGGTAAAAGAAAAAGACAAGTGTTTGTAGGTCCTACACTACAATAAAAAACTACAATCTCAGTGAGAAGGCTGTGCCTGTTTATTTTGCAGTACAATTGGTTTTTGATCGATATTTAAGTCTCAACAGAAAGAAACTTAAATTTGTAGTTTTTAAAATCACTGACATAGTTTTAATATGGCCCTGGGGGGTCGTCAGAATTTTTTAACTTGTAAAGGGGTCGCTTATTCAAGAAGGTTGAAAAACACTGGTCTACTGTACTAGCATGCCAGATTATCATCAGACAATTTTAGATTATTGGCTATTTTTCAGAAGGTGCCAAGGTACAAGTTAATTCAGCACCTGATAATGCAGAATGTCAGGTGCTGAATTAATGAATTTCTATACTGTATTTCATAAATAACATTAAATTTTTACAATGTCTCTAATTTTTCTGCTTGCTCAGCCCAGTGTGGTTCCAGTTCTTCTAATTTTCCATTAGTTTTATTCTGAATTAATCAATGAACATAATTATCTCCTGCATAAATTCTTACAATAAAAATATCTTAATTTCACTTAAAATAACTATATTTGATAATTACCTCTGATATTTTCTTCAGTAATTTTAGATTTAAGGCTTCCTTTTAATGAATACAAAATTTCTGTTTGTGGAATATTGTTAACTGGTATAAAAGAGCATTCCTAATTAAAAAAGATTAATGACTATTAATATATAATAATCAGTTCTTTATATTTCTGTAATATATTATACAAAAAAGCCATTTTATTAGTTTCAAACTAGAGTAACTTAATGTGTGATAAAATTTAAAATTAGTATCCAAAGCATCAAAACTGGTTTGGGATCTTTCTGAAAAACAAATTATACTAAGATCAAATCCAAAATAAAACATGAAGAAAAAAGATTATTTATAAAATATTTAGATTATCTTTTTATGTCAATTGCTATAGCAGAGTTTAATTCAATTTAACTTAACACCGATTTCAGTAACAATCATATTAATTACTGCTTATTTTAAGTTCACACTACTCATTACTCCAAGCAGTTTCAAATAACTATAACCCATCTTTAGAAGCATTATTTTAACAATAAGGACTGATAGGGATAATGTAAAAATAACTGTTTGGTTTATAGCCAGAAGGAAGGATTACTTTAAAAAAAGGAAAGAAGAGTAGATATGCTAAAAAGTGTGTTAAACATCTTTGAGTTTAACAGATACATTAGTTTTATTGACTGTTTTCTAACAATTTATTATCTTTGAAGTATGACTTTTTACACTTGTATAAGCTTTTGATATTTATTGTTAGAATAATATTCCTGAAGATAGGTTTTAGGACCACAAAAGCAGTAGGAATAATTAGAAAAATATACACTCAAATAAAAAAAATAATGAATGTTTAATCAAATTTACAATAAAAATACAGTATACAATAAAACATAAAAATATAAATGAAAAACTCTAGAAGATTTTCATTAGATTTTATAATCTAATGAAAATGATCTAAACATTAAGAATTTAGAATTGTTATTATGAGCAATATTTAAACTAATTTAACAAATGAGAGACAGAGAGGAGAAAAACAGAAAAACACAATTTAAAATAATCAAGGTGTGTCATCAAATGCCAAGCAAGAAAAACAGTAATTAAATTGTTAGATATGACTACAACAGCCTTTATGAGTACTTTAATGTTTTCTTTTCCCAGACTAAAGCTAAAAATGTTCATAAAAATTATATGAATATTAATTTTATTGATCAAAATTACCTTGAAGCTATAAACAACAGTATTGACAGCAGTATTTGGATTATCTATTTTAAGAATTCTTGTTATTTTCTCTTCAAGCTCCTGAATAATAATCAAATAATTTTGTAAATAAGAAGTTGTGGGCTAGAAGCATTCTTTAATATTATAACATTATGTATGGTATATACAATTAAAGTTTAGCAGTTTTAGTAAAGAAAATTTTAAATAAAGACAATTTTTTATACAATTATTTTTCATAAATATATTTATTTATTTTTTGGAATACTTTTAAGATATAAAAACCTTTCAGTTTTGTTTCAAGTTATATTATCTTTATCATTATTCAATAATATCATTTAGATTATTTAAATAATAATTATAAATAAATTTACATTTTATAAAAAGATTGATTAAATTATTTTCACTAAAAGCAATTAAAAATGTTACATATTTAAATTCATTTCATATATTTACTTTTTCATTTAATTCCAACTGATCATAAGGTTTTAAAAATTCTTTTCCCTGAAAATTAACAATATATTATTAGTTATAGTAAAGAGCATTTATTTGTAATTAAAATTATTAATGAAAAAGTCAAAATTTTTAAAACAAATTCTTTATAATACAGGGTGTTTATAATTAAAGTTCCACTGACCATAAAATGAAAATTACTGGACAGAATGTTATCAAACTTGGTAATAGTGTACAGGACGTTATGGGATTTTATTTCTCATGGAAAAAAAAAAAGTTGAAAAACTCACCATCAACAAGAAATGGCACTGTCTGCAATATTGTTAAACAAAATAACACATCGTTGAAAAATGTTTTTAATTGGTTTTAAAACATGTTACAGAGCATATCAATGTGGTGTCCACCATTTTTGATAAGCAAGTTACATTGCATTACTGTGTTCTCAACAGCAGCTCTCGGCATATCAGGAGTAACCCCACAAACAATTTCGTTTTAAAACCGATTAAAACATTTTCAACGATGTCTTCATGTCTTACTTTGTTTAACAATATTGCAGATAGCACCATTTCCCGTTGATGGGTGAATTTTTTAACTTTCTTTTTTGTGGGAAATAAAATCCCATGATGTCCTGTACACTATTACCAAGTTTGATAACATTCTGTCCAGTAGTTTTCATTTTATGACCATTTCAAAGTGGAAATTTAATTATAAACACCCTGTACAGGTATACCTCGACTTACGTCGTTCCCGATTATACGTCGTTTGTCAAAAAAGTATATGGAAAAATAAAAATCAAGTTTAAGTCATTTTATTCGACATTACGTCTGTCTGCCACAAATATTGAAGTTGTAATATCAGTAGAAAAGCATTTAAAGCACATAAAATCATATTAAAATATATACATTTACAAGTATGTACTGTATTTACAATACATGCATTCGTAAATTTAGATTACTTTTTTTCTGTACTATGTTAAAAACTAAAATTTATTTGTTTGTAAGCTTAAAATAGATCTTTATTAACCATACATTATTAAAAATGCATTAATAAATAAAATACAGAACCGGAATTGGCAATTTATGGTTTAGCCTAGTGACAAGTAGATTTGGAGACAAGTAAATTCGACTTACGTCGTTTTTCGACTTAAGTCGTTCTCCTGGAACCAATTACCGACGTAAGGCGAGGTATACCTGTATTGNTGTATAAGAAAAGTAAAATGTAAATTTAAAGGCAATCATTATTATTTTTTCTTCAAAATACTATAACAAATAATAAATATTTCAGACAAATATTAATTTATATATATATATAACAAATTTATATAATTAAAAAAAAATAAATGAAATTTTCAAATAAAAACATATTTTTTAATTTTTCATTTCTGACAATATCACATAATTAGTGCTAAACTTATTTATAAAATACTTGTATCAGCAGATTATATTTCTTTCACACTGTATTATTATATTAATAATTATTTAATAGTTACAATGGCATTTTAGTGAAAGATTTTAACTAATCATTTAGGAATGAAAATAAACATAAATGAAAATTTAAAAACAAAAAAATTAGATAAAGAAATACTTTAAGAAACTTATTTTTTTAAAACAAGGCATATTGTTAAGTCAAATACATCAAAATTCAGAATTCAGCAGCATTTCAAGTAGTGTCATTTCTTAAAATTTTTAATTAAAAAAAATAATGCAAATTAAAAGTGGAATAGAAAGACAAATAAAATTTTAACTTTTTAATAAGATGTTTTCAAAGAAAAATAGTATTATTTATGGTACATACAATTCCTGTTTTATTGACACAAACATTCTAAATAAAAAAAATCCAGCAACAAGTTGTGTAACTTTCCAGGTAAAACATTTAAAATTGTGGTGGCACAATCTGTTATATTTTATTAAAAAAACAAAAACTGTTTATATTATTAATTATTATAAAATGGCAATAAGCTTAATTTTGAGGGTAGAGATGATTTATATAAAAAATTGTAAATGCAAATAATGAGAAAAATCTTTATTAAATCCAACTCTACTCAAGACGTGACACATGATCCCCTCTAGCTCCCCACTCCCTTGATCTTCAATCACTAAAATTTAATAGCATCAATCCTCCAAATACACAATTTTCAGAAATTTTCAATAAAATTTCTGAAACAGAGAAGTTAAGTTTCAAATTGGGTGAACAAAATTTTTGACCGATCACCATACATTCCCTATACTTTCCTTCTGTTATATATAACAGTTGGGAAAGTACTAACCTGTTAATTTAATAACATATAAAATGCATTTTGAAATTAACAGTGTGGTAATTTTCACATATGATGTACTGACTGGAAATTTTCTGTTAAATCCAAAGTCTGTTAAATCAAAGTTTTACTATACTTGTGTAATATAATTAAACACATTAGACTAGTTAAGTTTGTAGAAAATTATGATATAGCTAGTTAAACTCATAGAACTGGTTATGTAAACAAAAGATCACACAACCTGCTTAACAGAACATCAATGCTAGGAAAGGCAGAGTAAAAGGGAGATGAGATGTAGTCCAGCTCCTAACTCATTGCTGATCTCCATGACTGTCTAGGCTCATTATCTGTCTTCTTCTCCCACAAACACACACACAAACCTCACTAGGACAAACGCCACAGAAAAGATGAGATCTCTCTCCTCATCATGTCCTTTTGGTTCCCATAAACATCATCTGACAAATTGACAAATCTAGATCTTGTCCCCTGCCATGACATTGTTATAGTGACTAACTGTGCACCCAGGATGCACTGACCAGTGATATGGAAGTAAAGTAGTATATAAAATAAACCAGGGAATAAATTAAATTTATATATATATATATATACATATATACATACATGTACACAGGAAGGAGGAGAGAAAACAAATATAGTAATAACACCACAGAAATCATCATGAGTAACAATTCCTTACAGAATTGTCATTAGCACTATATTGTGGTGTTCAGAGTTAGAGGTACGCGATCCCGCGAGCAAAATGGTACAAAAAAAAAAGAGTCTCAACACAAAGTATTATTTTTCTCACTGAACAGGTTCGTTTATTGGATCCCAACTTTACAATTTTCCGAATTTTATGCGTACACCGGTGCTCAATGGTACACCTCGAAAACAGTTATCTATTACCCACGCGACAAAAACCTGACGAGGACCAAAATTACTTAAACTAACTTACGCTAACTTACACTAACTTATGACTAAAGAAGAAAGAATATAGGATATAGAGATAGACAAGGAAAGAAGTAGAAATACCTGGGTTTAGATTCGATGAGCCCTTGGTTGGAGAACACTTCGGATTAAGAGGCCTTCCCTCGATGATCTCTCTCTCTCTCTCTGCGCTTTTTATTCTTAGGTCACTTCTTATTTTGTAGACCTTTCGTCTACAGTCTTCGTCTTTCGGATTGAGTTGTCTTTGATTACCTCTCACTGGTAGACTTTTCGTCTACAGTCCTTCCTCTTTTTTTTCTCTCTGGATCGCTTCGTCTCAGATCACTTCACTTGTAGGAGCACCTCTCTGTTCCCTCCTACCTACTCGAGATCTCCACTCAATCTGATCTTCTTTCTCTCTGTTTTGCTTCCGGGCCTCACTCCCTTTTCCTTTGTTCTTCATTTCTCCGAAGAGGGTAATCCTCCCCCAAGGCAAAAAGGGGTCAGACAAAGAAAGTTATAAAAAGGTTTAGAGAAAAGAAAGTTCTAGACGGTTTTAGACAAAGAGAAAAGGAAACTCTAATACTAATACAACATAAAATATAGGAAATATAACATATCATGGCTGACGGCCACAATATCAACCTTTCATACATACAAAACTATTATGACAATATTATCATAATAGATCATACACATAGTAATTAAATTTATATTCAGGAATAACTTCAATCATTGTATTCCAACAAAACAGTCAGAAAACTTTACAAATCTGGTTTCAATAAGCCAACAAATTAGTATTTTCTTGTATAGTGAACATAAGCATGCTAACTTTCAATATCTATCTGGTTCAGACACTGTTATTTTCTAGGAATTATCACATCCACAGGCTCCAAAAATACTAGCCAATCAACAACTTTATTTTACCCAGATGCATTTTGAAAATTACAATATTTCCCTCCTCAGTGGCTTTCTTTCATACAAGCTAAAGAAGACACAATCAATGAATGAAGGTACTGATTGCAAGTACTGTGAATAATATGTAAAGGTTAAGAAAAAAACACAGGAAAAAATATTTTATTATAAAAATTAGTAAAAAACTCACACAATTTTTCAATATTTTAACAGAGTATTGAAAAAGTATTTGTGCCTTGTTTAGCTTATATGAAAGAAAGTCTGCTGAGGAAGAAAATATTGTAATTTCCAAAATGCATCTGAGTAAAATAAAGTTGATTGGCTAGTATTTTTGGAGTCGATAAATCCTAGAAAATAATGGTGTCTGAACTGGTTACATATTGAAATTATATATATAAAAAAAAAGAGAATAGAAACAGAAGAATAAATCATAAGCATGCTACTTATAAAATGCTAAAACAAAACTTTTGTATAAATTTAACTTTCATAGTTTCATAGAATTTAACAATTATTGAATAATTAGCAAAGCTCAGTAGGTTTCTTTCAGATTACAAAAGTTAACATACCATTAGAGTCAAATGATCTTGCCGAACAATTGGATTATTTTTAGATTAATTATTTGGCAAGATTGTTTGGCTCTAATCAATTAAATAGGATTAAGAGTTGATGCTATTAATGTATCATTATTAGATAAACTACAAAAAAATGGGGGAAAGACTGAAAGACTTCCTTAAAACAATATAATAACTCTTAAATTGAAAATTAATTTTTCAGTTATCAAGTTTCTACATTTTATTTATAATGGCTTGTATCAAAACTTTAAAAAATTATGAAACATTTAGTTAATTTTAGAAATTATATGTTATATTTTTATACATTTTCCAAATTGTTTGAGTTTGATAATCTGTTAAATTTGGTCTGTTATGATATACAGAAATTTATATGACATAATATAAATAAATAACTGTAAATTGCCATCAATTGATTTACATCTCTTTGTTATTTATACACAATTAGACATTTCTTTCAATTTTCAACATTCACCTGAAGCCTTCTGATTTTATAAACTTTATTATAGAATTACATAGTAAATTACAAAACTATATTAAATTTTTATTTAAAAAGTTTTCAATTTTACACTTTTTACTTATATTAATACTACACAAGTTCATAATAAAATTGTCACTTTACAATTTCAGTCACTTTAAAAAAACTTACTTTTAATTTTATTACAAACTTTATACTAAACCTATATCAGCAAGAAATAAAAAACTACCAAGAAACAAATTATATTTTAGAGATGCCACGAATATTCGGCTACTATTCGGTATTCGGCCTATTTGGCTACTTTTTTTAATATTCAGTATTCAGCCAAATGTTGCATACTATTTGGCCGAATACCAAATCACGAAAAAAAAAGCACATATTACTCAAAAACATATTTATTTTAATCACAAATTATTACATTTAATACTTAAAATCTATCAGTGATAAGATGTGATGAATGAAAACAATTTTTCAGCATTTGTTGATAGCAAACAATTGCACTTTCCCTCATAAACTATACCTGCTTCTGAAAATAGCCTCTCACTATATACACTACTGCCAGGAGACAATAGATAAATCTTAGCAAATTCTGTCAGGCTTGGGGTACTGTTTTGCGTTTGCTGACCACCACTTTACAAGTGGTGGTCAGCAAATGCATCTAGGCGATCTAGCCGATCTAGGTGAACAGTTTTCATATAAAGTGATAAAAACAGTGATATTTTTTAGTAATAAGGACTATTAGTAACACAATTTGATGTAACAATGAACAAATAATGCATGTCGTGACACAATCTACTCACAAATAAAACAAATGTGCCCATGGTGTCGATACCGCATCTACCGCAATGAGACAGGTCGTAATCTTTCACCCGTAAAACGTACACATATTTTGCCGAACATTCAATGACCAAATATTCGGCACTTCGGCCGAGAGCATAGCCGAATATTCAGTATTCGGCAAAATCATTATTTGTGGCATCACTATTATATTTTAAAATCTTCAATAACATTTTAAAAATTTAATACCTAATGCCTCATAATTTACACAAAATCAAATAACACTTTTAGTAAATTTCTTTTAATTTTGTTTATCAAAACAAAAATGGGTACTTATAGGTTAAGAGGACGCCAGTCGGAAATAACGATCAAAGTCGCGATTTTGAATGAAAATATCAAAATAACAATAGACTAGTAAATTTAAATCTAAAAACAAAAAAAGTTACTGATAAGGTTGTAAAAATGAAAAAAGAAAATTAATTAGGATGATATATATCGCCTATTTGCCGGTTAAAGTCCAGATACATATACCGTCATGGCGGCTCATCTCTGATTCCAGCAAACAAAAGGAAATAGTGGGGACGCACGTTCTAACCTAACCTAACCTATACTATTAATTTGATTGGTAATAATTATGGTAATTTATTAGAATAGGTTAGGTTAGGTTAGAACATGCGTCCCCACTGAACTGGCGTCCTCTTAACACATAAGTACCCAAAAATGCTACATAAAATATTTTTATAAAAATTTAATATATAAAATTAATTTTAATCAAATTAAAAAAAATAAAAATGCAATAAAAATACATACTATTCTATAATCTTCTTGCTCTTCAATATTACTAGTATTATACTGTAAAATACAAATTTTAATCTTAATTTATAAAATTATAATTTTGCATATAAATAATAAATGAAATATTAAAATATTTTTGAAAATATAATAAAAGATGTCCCATTTATATAATATATAGTATTATTAAAATATAACAATATTTAAAAAAGTCAATAAAAACCCAATATTCTTAACAAAAGTCATGTTTTATCTTGGACTAACTTTTTCATCCATGGTTTTACATCCCTTTAACAAAATAATCACGTGCGAGATTCAAAATTTAGTTAATTTTATAAAATAAATTTATTCCTTACCTACAAAATCGAAATATAGAGGCCGTGGGAATTTTATGTCTTAATATAAACATTCTCACGAGGAATCCATGCATAGTTTACATTTACAGGCAAAATTCGTCATATTGTTGCCATTCTATCACACCTTTAACCCCACACCTGCTAAAACAATTGATCACCTGACTAATTTTCCCACTAAAAAAGTATAAAAGACCTCCTCCTTCACCTCTCGGGGGAATTGCCAATCGCCGAAGTCGAAACGTTGAAGTCAGACATCGTCCTTCCCCCAGCGCAGGATTTTAATACACCACCATTGAACATCGTGCCACACCCCAGAATCCATTTGGACGATATTACAGAAAAATATCCCACTGATATATGCAAAGATGTATGAAAGCATAATTGTAAACTCTCTCTCTCTCTCTCGGCCATCCATGCACTTAGAGTAATTAAGTTTGTACCTTTTTCTTTCTGTAGTTGACTGTAATAAACTCTTGTTTTGTTTTAAATGGTGTCTTTACTCGACTGTGCCACTGTCTTATCGTTGACCTCTCTGACTCTCCTCCACTCGCGTAATGCGTAACCAAACGTTACTGCCCTCCTTGACAAGAAAGTTGGTCACAGACCAACTGCCGGAAAGGAGAGGAATTCCCAACAACCTGGCAGCTCACACATGTTTTAAATAATCATAAGCCTCTTTTGTAACAAACTGATATACATAATAAAGATTGATTAATTAAAAGAGAAAAATAATATTATAAAAGAAAAATATGATTTCTTTGTGGTGCATTCCTTCTTGGTTATTTCTAAAATTTAAAATTTAACAAAAATGAATTTCCCTCCATATACTCTCTTTGACAAAAAACTTGATGCACCTAGAAAGAATTATCCAACTGGAACAAAATTGGTATGTATATTATACATACACAGAAAAGAAATTATTACAATTTTAAAACAGTTGGATGATTTATTCCAGAGAAAGAGCTATACAGAATGAGGAAGTCAATAAGATATTGGTCACATCTTACCTGAATATAAGCTATTATCTGGCATGGCATTGATTCATAAAGTTGATGGATGGTGTCCTGAGGAATTTCTTGCCAAGCAGAGTTTAATTGGATGGCTAAGTTGTCGACATTCCCAGATAGTTGTAGGTAATGCCTACCATCTGGGAATCATGCACATTTGTAGGCAATGCTTCCAAATGTGCACAATTGGAGAGAGTTCTAGCAATCTGGCTGACCAAGAAAGGTCATCGCAACCACAAAGACATTCATGTGAAAAGGGTGCCATTTGCAGCCTGACATTGTCTTGTTGGAAAGTATGTCCTGGGTGCTGCAAAATGAACGGTATCACAATAGTCTTATAATGTCATCAACATGTTGCTGTGCTGTGACTGAAACATGGACTACCACTAAGGAAGTTTGGCTATCAAAAGAAATGGCATCTCAAACCATAACTCCCTGTTGTTGGGCTATGTGGCATGCAACAGTAACAGTGGAATTCTGGCAATGGCCAGAGTGTCTCCATACATATCTGTGCTGGTTGTCAGGACTCAGTTCAAAGCAGGGCTCATCAATGAAGATGACTTGTCTCCAATCAGAACAGTTTCACATTAATCAAGCCCAGAACCACTGCAATCAATCTTGATAATGTCTATTGGTCAGTGGCAGCAAGCATAATGGACATTGTGAGCATAGATTCTGTTCAAGTAGTCATATAGCAATGGTCCTGATGGATACTTTGGCCTTAGTCACACATTGAATTTGAATGGTCGATAACGATGACCCTTGCACACAGCAACAATCGCTATCCTCCCATTCTGTCATCACTCTGGGCATTCCACTGCCTGTTTTTCCCTGGACTTTGCTATTCAAGACTCATTCATGCAAGCATCATCTAATTGCTGCATCACTCTAACTCTAACCCAAATGTTGGGTGATATATCCATCCACCCTCTTTTAGTCCAATGACAAATTCTCTTTCAAACTCATAAGGTTGTAGTGGGCATAAATTTGATGGTGAGGCATTGTTCACCACCAACAACAATCAGCATAATCAAACTTTACTGAAAGTTCATCTCTCAAAGAAAGAATCATTTTTTATATACATTATCATAATGACAGGCACTTCCAATGTGCTTAGCTCAAACTATTCCTTCTTTTATTTTTTATCACTTGCATATTCAGTTGAAAAGTACTTGAATATGACATTTCATTGCAATTGGATTATTTTTTGGAGTGTATTGAATTTTTTGTCAAAGAGTGTAAAATTGGTTTATGGATAGAATTAGTTCTTAATTTATATTCTTAGAGGATTTTAATAACAGAAATAAAAGTTTCAAAAGATTTCTTATTCTAAATCTGCTTTCTTAGAAAATGGGTATGACTATGGTTGTTTTTCAATAAAAATTAAGACAAAAATGAATTTTTCCTCTATGGAATATCAGCTAATGATAATCATCGTGAAACAAACTAAAATATAATAAATTATATTTAATAGAAAACTGACTTTATAATCATCAGCAATAATTGTTATATAGAAGTATAAAATCAGATGCAGTAAGCAAAATTAGAGGACTAAATTGTTTGGAATAAAACTGGAAGAAATATGAGTAAATAAATAAGCTACTATATTTAAAAACAATATAAAGAACATTTTCCATTTATATACTGATATTAATTTGAATTAAGAAATGCACCTTTAACAGTGGGAGAAGTTGGAGAAATGTTAATGTTTTCAGCCCAGTTAATGGCATAAATTTATTAATATTAAATAATGAAATCTATTAAACTATAAGAAATGGCCTGTCTTCTTGTAATAAGACATGAACAGGCTTCACTTTTATCCAGCCCCATCATGGCCACTGGGTCAAAAATATTAGCATTTCTCCAACTTAATCTACTGTTAAAGGTGCATTGCTGAATTCAGTTGATTAACTATAATGACTAGTTCAACTCCAATACTAAATTAATAGTGTTATTTGATGATACAAAAAGAAATTATCGTTAAAAATTTATTAATATTAAATAATGAAATCTATTAAACTATAAGAAATGGCCTGTCTTCTTGTAAGTAAAGTATTATTTTACTTTAAGTTCAAAATTTATTATATTTTTAAGGAAATTTATATATATATATATATAAAATACTATGTAATACAAAAAAATTGAAAATTTTACCTTTGATGCAGTCCGAGATAAATCAGTTTCATATTTTTTTCCTCTCTGAAATTATAAATTACAATATTTAAATAATTCATAGAAATAGAATTTAAATGAATAAAACTGGTATTGTTTTATATAAAAATGATAGAAATTCAATATTGTTCTCCAATCTTTGATAAGCAACAATCACAACAGGTTCTGCTTTATTGGGGCATATGAACTCTGAAAATGAGGTGAAGAGCTTGAAGGTTCTAGGAATTATTAAAAATCTTTGTTTTTGTTTTTTTGTACTCCAATAAAGCAGAAACTGGCATGATTGTTGGTAAAGATAAAAATATTTATTTTAGTTTTGCTGCAAGTTTTTGTTTTAATGTATTGAGGAGGCCATTGAGCCATACCTCTTGAGAAGGAAATCAGTTAAATCAGTCACCAATTACATCCACAAGTAGTGTTGTTGTCGTTGTGCCGGAGGAATGATACCAGATAGCAAAGGAGTCCAACAGTCATTGTCACAAGTTCCTTTTACAGAAAAAAATACAAGGGTTACAATTACATCAACCATGGAAGAAATGTTTGGAGTGCACAGTGAAGTGAAAAGTTCAAACAGAAGCACATTGACCAAGAAAAGTGAATTAGTCTCATTCTTGACATCACATAGCAATGGGGCACTTGACCACCATTCCCAACCTAACTGCCGCAGTACCTCCTTCCTAGTGGAAATGATATCATGTGGCTAACGAAAACGTGCTGGGAATCAGACACGTCTTCCTGAACACGTCATGATCTTGGTCTCAGTTTCTTTTGAGTGACTTGTGCCCAGTGACTTAGGGTCAACTACGTCTGTTGAACGAGAAATTTGTTCCACGTGTGTCTCTTGGTTGTCGTTTGTTGGTGTTCTATCACTTTGAGAAAGGTGTTCTACTAAAGAGTAAGCCGGTTTAAGTCTATCTATAGAGATAACTGTCTCTTTTTTGGCATATGCAGACTTTGAAAAACTTGTCTGTCTGCTGCAGTACAGGAAAGGGTCCTTTGTATGGTGGCTGCAGAGGTGACCGTACGGCGTCGTGCCACACATAAACGTGAGTGCAGCACTGAAGGTCCTAAGGGACGAATATTTTCTTTGCACCGTGGCATCTCGTTGGCATTGCTGTTAGTTGATGCATTAGCTCTTTGAGCTGTTGGATGAAAGCTGCTGTGTTCAAGTCTGGTAGTATAGGGGCAAGGAAATTGCTGGGTATCCATAAAGATGTCCCGTAGACAAGTTCGGCAGTTGCTGCTTTGATGTCATCCTTCAAGGTGATTTGAATCCCTAGGAGCACTGACGGTAAAACCTCTGTCCAACGTTTGGTCAAGAAAGTGAACTAAGATGATGGAGCCTGAACCCACTGTGAGAGTATAAAACGTGAGAACAAGTCAACATGTAGAACTTTAGTGATTTCTTTGAAGGGACAAATTTAGAACAAGCGCACTTAATAGAGTATATGCTTAGCAGGGGAAATCCACTGATCTCAATAGGGACTAGACAAAGACAACTAACCAAATTAACAAGATAACCCTTTAATTTTCCTGAGAACATACAGTACTTCTAGGAAAAAAAAATCACAGGAACGTATGGAGCCCGACAATCCAATATACCAAATATCGTTAACATTAAATCTCCTGACAATATACTGCTCAAAATTCCCGTAACATGAGGACATAAAACATACCGACAAATAAGTTTGAAGTGTACCTCTTCTTTTTCTTCACTCTGGGCAGAAAACAGTTCGAAATTCAAAATCTCCACACTGACTTGGTTGCACAGTCTTTACTTTCCCATGCATTTTCACCACCATCACTCTTTTCTTCTTCCCTGTCCTCTCTCCACTTCTGTTCTAACTCCCCGAGACACACCCTCCAATAAAACTCCCACCCTCGGTTACACACCCAGAATTACACAACTCCTCTCCACCAAGTCAGACCCACCACATGGCAAAAGGGGTGCAGGAAAAGATGTAAGGCACACCACCACCGAAGTGAATAGAATGGCCCTCAGATTACCCCCATTTTGGGACAAGGCCCCAGAGTTGTGGTTTGTGAATATCGAGGCCCAGTTTGCTATCTCTGATATCACAAATGACTGTACCAAATACTACTCGGTCATCTCCACTCTCAATTCTGACATTTTGAACTATGTGAATGACATTGTTCTCATTCCTCCGGCAGGACGATGACGACAACAACAACAACACTACTCATGGATGTAATTGGAAACAGACTTAACAGATTTCCTTCTCAAGAGGTATGGCTCAATGGCCTCCTCAGTATCAACATATTCTGTAATGTGTGTTTTGTGATATTCATGTTTTGTGTGTTTTGATTTTCTTGAAAATATTTTTGACTTTTTTTTGTTTTAGATTTGGGTGTTAGTTGTTTTAATGTATTGTGTCAACCTGCCTAATTGCTGTTTAATGTCATTTATTTGTGTTTCTATTCTTCTCTGCCAGGCAGGCTTGTGATAGAATTGTGTTTTGTGCGTGTCTGTCTGTGATTGTATTTTCAGTCCATGGTGTGTCACTACTATGACTGCCCCAGCATAAACTAATGTATGAATGTCTGAGAGTGTAAAAATTGAATGAATGTAGTGTGGTAGTAAGTGAGTTTACATAATTTAGTGTTTTTCCTACTTCCTTTGACATGTTGATTTTTGGTATTTGTGGTCTTTGTGTGGGATCTGTGCCTGTATATTTAGTGAGTGTTTCCTGAAATATAAGCAAGAGTGTATTAACTAAATCTATGTCTATGTTATCACTATGATGGCACGCCACTGCCACAGAAATACCAAGGCTAGGTTGGTTCCTCACAGCTATCAAGGGCATTGCAGTAGCCATGCTTGGGCCGGTGCTGCATTTGCCACTGGTATCCAAGAGAAACTGTGGCCTATTTTTAGAATGTGAGTCTCTGCCTATCTCACAAATGCAGACCTTGTTAAGCCAGGTGACATCCAAACCAGTATCACACTTAGATCTGGTTACTACCAGTGGCTTGCTGTCCATGGAAGCTGCAGAAGCACCACTTCCCTTGTATTTTCTAAAATATAAATACATATTGAGCGATTATTTTCATATTTTAACGTACTTTGAATTACTTAAGATTAATATTTTATTATAATTGCATTATGTATCTTATTACAAATTTCTATACATGTAAAAAACAATAATAAGATTGCTATTGTATATTGGAATATAAATTCATATGTGCATATTCCCAATGGAAGTGCCATATTGTCAAATACAGGATAGTTTCCACAGCGAAAATATTTGAATGGTGTAAAGCAGCCAGATTATACACATTGGCACATGCACTTTACAGAGCACCAACCTCGCATGGTTTAGTTGTGGATGCTAGACTCCAAAATATCATATAACGCTTCCAATGATTATATCTGGGGCTGGCACAGCTTTCCTATCATCAAATGTCACCGTATGCCACTGGTTACTTGTTGTTGTTTAAGTTATGACAATGCAACACTTGGGCGATCTGCCTAGAGGGATGCCTTCCGGGAGGTCTTTTTAAGGGAAACTGGCCCCTATTTAAGTGTTACAGACATGGAGAAAACTTGGAAAACTCCATGTGGCCAGTCTGTCCAAGCGAGGTGCAAACCCATGACTGAACTCCCAGTGTTCAAGGAACAAAGACTGCTTGGCCACTAGTGGGCACAACTCAAGTTTCAAATGTGGGTGTGGTTCCTTTGACTTTTTTTTACTACAATCTGGGGGATCGCTGACCCCATCATTCAGAGCTTGAATCATGCCCTTTTTATTCCTTGGTCATACAATTTCCTTATATATAAAATTTCAAATTATTTTACAACAAGAAAAGAATATACTCACTGGTGTTTTTAATGGCATTTTCTGATTTAAACACAAAAATCAATCTATTAGCGCTTATAAAATAAGAAATAATATATATTAATTTAAAAAAGTAAGATGTTGTGACCATTAGAATTGTCAATAACAATGTTCTTTTTAATAAATATTGACATATTAAAAACTCGTTGCCATAGAAACGATTAAAGAAAAATAGAAAATTTTAAAAATATTTCGTTTGAAAAATAATAATAATGAAATGGGAAATTTTTAAAATTAATTTGTAATTTTGTCTGACACACTTCTGTCATCTTTTCTAATTCTATCTAAAGAACAATGACTAGAAACCGAAACAAGTGTCAAAGAAATCACGTGATTATTAATTAATGATCACTCACGATGTCATCAAGTGCTTAGTGATTTATTAAATCGTGCATTTTTTTGCTTTGGTTTTATTTTTTTACGATAAGTCACTAGTTAACATCTGCTAAACAGATAGAAATTTTTGGAGTAACTCATAAAAAAGAGCTATAAACAAAAACTCATAGAACTATTTACAGACTCGGCACAATTCGAGCTGCCATTGCCTAAGCTTGTTTTCGTCGCGGAATAGCCCATTGGAAAGCGAACACATACAAAACGTGTCACGTGACTGCGATCGCATTCATTCTGTACTTTTACGAACACGGTTTTCCACGGATTATTTCATTTAAAATGAAATTTTCTTTAAAACAAATATCTATAATTGTCCATGTTTAGTTTAAATTATTTTAATTTAGAAACAGCGGGACATTGGTCAGGTTTTCTAAACGCGTACCACTTTTAAATGCAAATTAAGACTTAATGTTAATTGCTTTTTCTTATGTAAATTAAAATTTTTAATTTAAATAACTATTGTTGTAACCTGTTGCTATTTTATGAAACAACAATACTGTTTTCTTTAACGCTCAAAAATATACAGTATCGACAAAAAGAATTAGGTTAAGTGGCAAGTAATATGACGGTGTTGTTTACAAACAGCTTTAAATCACGTGATTTTTTCCGAGAAATTTAATTACAGGTTCAATGTTAAAAAACCTGAGTAAGCAATTTCGACGTTACATAATGATTTTAAAGGATCCGTTTAACCTAATTTTTCCGAGGAACAGCCTAGCTTAACTGACCCACTAGTGGCCAAGCGTTCTTCGTACCCTAAACACTGGGAGTTCGGTCATGGGTTCGTGCCTCGCTGGGACGGGCTGACCACGTGGAGTTTTCCGGATTTTCTCCGCGTCTAAGAATAAGAGCCCGTACACACTAGGCGTTTTTTAAACGCGCGTTAGCTCGGCGTTAGCACTGGCTCAGTTTGGAAATGGACGTGAAAGTAATTGATTGTGTGTGCTCCTCCATAGTCGCTATAAGGCAGCACATATATCTCAAAGCGCCCGCAAAACGCGCGTTTTAACAAAAATCTATAAACGCGCGTTTGAGTGTGTACGCCTACATAGAACTCTTGGTTCTTTAAAACGCGCGTTGAAAAACGCCTAGTGTGTACAGGCTCTAAGGGGAAGCTAAAGATCAAGCCTATCCGTCTCACTGATTGTCAGTTACAAAAATTACTATTAACAAATATACGATAAATAAATGAAAAAAATTCAAAATTAAAAGAAATGTATTAAAATAGTAAGTACAGTATTTCGTTTTGCTTGTAACATAAACTTTTTGGTGGGGGTCGATGTGAGGTTTCGAAAACTTGTAGGGAGTCGACGATCAAAAAAGTTTGGCGACCCCTGAACTATAGTTTTTCTACACAAAATAAACCATAAGAAGTGAGATATGTTTGGTTCCGGCAGCGGAACTAACATATCTCACTTCTACTAATTATAGTCGGAAGTGACGTCACAGTACAAACTTTAACACCGAATATCTCGCGAAAGGTTTCCTGTAGGACCACAGTCCTTTAGGACAATATTGGTTTTCTAGGGAGTCGCCATCTCCTCATTCAGATTAGAATGTTACAAAAATCCCTACATTTCCTCCTTTTTGTATGAAAATCCTTCATCTCTTTTCGTGTTAAAAATTCCTATGCAGAGGGATTACTCACAACGTGTCTTGCAACAATACCGAAACCGAAACCGGAACTACGTATGACAACAATACCGAAACCGAATGACGGCGTTACGAGTAGCGCTGTGCGATGCATCGATGTGACATCGATACATCGATGTTTTTGTTCGTCGATGCATCGACCTTCCGATGTTTTTGAAACATCGATCCTGAATCGATGTGAATTTTGATTCATCGATGCATGCAGTTCATTCTTTGTTCCTAGTATTACCACCTGTTCGGTTTTCACCCGGACAGTCCGGGAATTTAAACAAAGTTCTTGCAAATATGTTTACAAATTTACACTATTTTAACAGTGAACGAACTCACACTCATTGAAACTCACCCTCAACTCTGCCATGTTAGTCTGTTTACGCCGACTCATCGCAGAATGAAAAAGGTTCTGTGGCATTAAAATTAATTCAGCATGTTGAGACTCGATGGAATTCGTATTTCTTGATGATTGAGAGATTTGTACTACTAAAAAATTTTGTTACACTAACATTGCAAAAGTTTCCAGGGGCACCCGACATGCTCTCTGGTAGAGAATTAAGTGCTTTGAATGATGCGCTTAAAGTACTAAAACCTTTTTATAAAGTAACTAATGAAATTTCAGCAGAAACTCACACTACCATCAGTAAAATTATCCCATTTTTAGGGTTAATGTTTAATACACTTTGCAAGGTTTCTACAGAAACAAATGTGGGAAAGAAGTTGCTGGAAAAATGTTTTAGTAATCTTGATTTCCGTTTTAAATCCACTGAGACGAAGTTAGTATATAGTGTTTCCACATTACTAGACCCAAGGTTCAAAAAGCTAGATTTTAAAAGTCCAGCATGTTGTGCAAATGCAATTAAATGTGTAAATGCAGAACTTTGTAAATTTCCCTCTGCTGAGGCTCAAATAAGTTTCCACAATAATGCAGAAAATAAACTTGAAGATGATGACCTTTGGTCATCCAGAAAAATTGATATTAAGATAGAAATGTTAACACAAATGCAACTTTAAATTCAAATTTTAATACTTTTTTAGATGACCCTATTGTGCCTCACAATAGTAATGCTTTGGATGTGTGGAAATCCATGAAATTTTTTAACTATAATTTATGTGAACTTGCCATGAAGTGGCTTTGCATTCCTGCCACTTCAGTTCCAGCAGAAAGATTATTTTCCAAAGCTGGAAATACTATCAACAAAAAGCGGAGTTCTTTAAAGCCAAAGAATGTACATAAACTTCTAGTTTTAAATTCATTATCAATTGAAGAACTGTATGCATTGGAACTGTAATTGAACTATACAAGTTGAAAATAAAATTAAGTTTTGTTTTTTTTAAACTGTTTGAGTTTATCTTGATTGAACATCGATGTTCCAATGGGCATCGATCAAACATCGATGTGAAATCCGACATCGAAATTTAGCATCGATGCTTAAGCAAACATCGATGTTTGACATCGATGTTAAAATTATAGACATCGCACAGCACTAGTTACGAGTCTCGCAGCAATACCAAAACCGAAACCCGAATTACGTATAACACGTCACGTGACCTCTTATCTGAGCTAATAAATACAGTACTAACCTAAGAAACACGTAATATCAACCAACAGCTTGACACGCATCCTTGGCCCTCGTAATTGTGGTAAACGGCAATTATTGAAGTTATTTATTTTCACGCTTGAATACGAGATTGTCACGTGAGGATTATTCAACGTTCTGTAACCATTGGCGGGAAGATTAAGCAGTGACGTCATTTCGTCCGCCAAAGTTGATGGTACTGGCGTTGCATGTTGATTTCAACTTTCTCGTCGAAGTTTGTTTCAGTTTTGAGTGTGGAGGTGACGTTTATTTAAGTAATTATATCGTGAGGAATAGTAATAGGACCTTTATCTGCAGAAGAAAAGGTATGACTTAGTTAACGATAAATATAAGTTCTATTATAATGTCAAATAATGATTAAATTATATAATTTTGTAAATGTTATTCGACGTATCAAACTTCAAATTTTTGTATGTTTTATGTACTATCGTGGAAGTCATTTTGGGTTGTCAATTAACAGCCGTGTGGGCGGTGGTGGGGGGTGGTTTTTAAGCTACCGTAATTTTTTTATGAACAAATACCTATGTTGCGGTTGCACAGAAAATATAGCCTATGCTTTTAGTCTGTCGTTTGTAATATTGAGATGTATTAATGTCCAACAAATGCTTTTTTTAAATAGAATTCCAAAATTATTTAAGCTAAGAAAACCTAAATTAACACACATACAGTATGTAAATTTATCTTATAAATTTACATACTGTATGTGTGCTAATTTATTTTATAAATTTACCTATCACAAAACTTAGAGAAGCATTGCTCTAACACACTTTACATCTATTTTTGGGCTGAAATGTGAAAAAATTAGACCTATAAATTCCCACTGCCTTTCCGTCCTTCCTTAATCTCAAGAATGGTGTTAAATAGATGAAAGTCAAAACAAGATGTGGCAGGAGGCCCCAATTAACTATATATATATATAGGTCTAGATAGGAAATCATGTGAATTCAATTCAGAAATTTTCCTGGAATGAAGTTACATAGATGACCAGCATGACTCTGTTGTTATCAAGAAAAGTATGATATACAGGGGCAAGACATTATTAATTTGAGATGAACATATATTTTAAATTAAACAAGTAAAATGGCAAAACCATATTTGGGACAAGACTACGTCTCGGAAACTCACTACTAAGCGGAATCACTTTGATGCTCAAGGCAGATCTTGTTCTCATTCTCCAATCTTCTTTGGTATCACTGCTTTTGGGCACAATCGTTCAAATTTTGCCAGCCATGACCACGAGGTCGTCCACAATGCATTTTCGATGAAATTAACCTATCCAATTTTGAAATTTCTCTCCGTTACCGGGTTAAACTTTTTTGTCGATGTGTAACGAAAATTTCCCGTTTTTGAAAAAAATAGTCGTGGCTATTGTATCGTCCAAAATTATTTTTTTATTTTGCACAAACAATATATAGTTTAACCAAGTGTTTCTCAACCTCTAACGAATCGTCACCCCCCTTCAATAAAACCGTTACGTATTAGTGCCCCCTTCACTTCATAATTCCAATGCCGAGGGCCAAGGCTAACGCCAAATTTGTACTGCATTGAATACACTATTGACTAGTGTAATGTTATTTATTTAATTATTGTATGATATAATGAATAAAATATCTAATTATTCTTAATATAATGTTTTACTATATCGCCCAGAAAATTGTTTTTCGCCCCCAAAATATAAATTGTTACTAATCGCCCCCTAAACATGGAAAAACACCCACATGGGGGCGATATCGCCCCCATTGAGAAACACTGATTTAACCCGATTATAACGTCATCGGATGTAACGACAAACCTAATATAATGTCAAATTTTTATTGGTCCCAAGATTTTACTACACTAGATAATGTTAAAAAACCTACTTGTAACGACACCCTGTTTTAATGTCATATTTGAAGCACTCCCAAATTTACAAAATTAGACTACAAATTTTATTTACCATAGAAGAAACTACATGTTCAGTCCTAAGGTCAGAGTTCACTTCTTAGAATGACTGTGGGTGGTACTCTCTCCCACCTCACTTTGGTGAGGTAAGGTGCCTGTTTTACCTGTTTGTAGAAGAAGGTTGCCATTTCGTATTTTATTTTGACTCTGTTCTTGGTCCCCTGACTACCTACAAGTCTGGATTTTTTTATGCACAAATGATTTGGACACCTAATACTCTGTGCCAATTATCAACTCTCGACACGTACTCCATACCTGTAAGCTGGTAACATAAACTGGCAGTTTGATTTTATAAACATGTCATAGTCTTGTCAATAAATTAAGAATGATTAAAAATTGTAGCCAGGCANATCAACAGTGTTATAGGGGAGTCGACTTGTATGTTTTTTTAAAAATATAGATATCAAGTCTTTTTATGAGAGCGTTGGATTGTTCTTTCAGGATTTTCAAATTTTTACAACAATTTTTAATATAAGTTATATATTTGTAAACTTAGATAACAAATTTATAATTATTTTATTCGTTCTGTTTTTTGTAGTGTTAATGTGGAAAAATTGATTGACATTGTCAAATCTTACCTTGGTGGGTTTTGTTGTAGTATATTACAGAAAATGTAATTAAATGTAATGTTTATTAAACTGTGGTCCACAAACTCTTCGTAGTCCAAAAGTAGGTGAACTATGTGTTAGGAAATATGATGTCTCTGCTCTATTACATGATGCATTCAAAGTTCAGCCCTAGAGAATGAAGTCTTCCATGAGAAGAAGTTTTCAGAAAAGATGTTGGAGATATTGCATGACTGAAGCAAGTGATATTTTTAGGAAGTATTGTGATCAAGTGATGGGAAAGCATTTGACACATTTTGTGTCTGCCATCTAACATGATGTTCCATGACAAATACAAGCTTATTTTTTTTATGTTACATGTAGAATGATTATACTGTGTCTTAGATGAAAGATACTATTATTTTAAACAGATACTTATAAAAACTGGCTTGTTTGTAATAATAATGGCTTAGATTTACAAGTTTCTCTTTATCCTTAATATCTTAGTTTCTGCAAAAAATAACATCCTACAATAAATTTGTTTTTTTATTTCAAAACTTCAAAATTTGCTTATAAATGGACATAACGTCAGGGTAATAACAAAATACTGACTATTTTGAATTAAAATATTATAGTTGTCATTTATTTTATGTAATATGTTACTAATCCAGAAAGTTCCAGCATAAAGTTTTTACCAGGGCTGTGGAATCATGTAAAAATCTATTGACTCCAAATTTGCCTTATCTGACTCCAACCAGGAGTGGACTTGTTACCAAAATAGGCCTGGGAATTCTGATGTCATCATGTGACCTCAGAATAAAAGCTTCAATAAATAGAGTTCTAATAAAGATAAAATGTAGAAACTATTTTATTCCAAAGGTAAAAGACTCTTCTAAGTAATGATAGGCAATTTATAAATATGTATTCAATAATTTTTACTTTCCCGGCTGTTATGTATAACAGAAGGAAAGTGTAGCAATCAGTCAAAAAATGACCCCCCCAAATTTTTAGTTTTGGACTTGGGACACCTTGAAATGTCGATGTCATTGGCATTGCTCTATAGTTGATTAGAATTACTAAACTCTCTCACCTCGGTAAGATGGTGACTACCAAAAGATTATTGTACCTCAAGGAGCAACGTTTTCAAGCAGTTCTTGCAGTTTTAGATCATTATTGCAGAGAAGGACAGGAATTTTTGGATTAAATTCTGATTGGAGATGAGATATGTGTTCATCACTTCTCATCATAACCAAAACAAATTTCATATGAGTGGAACCATTCCCTTTTGTTTGTTCTCCAATTTAAATGAAACTTGATCATGTAGCCCTAAACACACAGTACCTTGTCCAAATAATAGGATCCACTTCTCAAGCATTTTTCCAAAAAAACAGCATCTGAAAATTGAGCGTTTAGTTTGTGTTTGGAAGTTTCATGTGTCTTAGAGTCCATTGAAATATTTAAAGCCAGCCTTAATTCCAATTGCATAAACTCTAAGGACGAGATACAACTATCTAAAGCATGGAGAGCAAGGGACAAAACATCATTATAGCCTGGATGATCAGTGCATGTCTCTTATTGGTCTTTTCAAATTCAAATACTACACAACTGTTGTATTTGGTTCATTCCAATAGAAACAAACTATTCAACCTAAATCTGGAATTATGTGGATTCAAAAATATTTGTTTCATCTTCCATGTTTTACTGGATGCTGAAGAGATTCTGTGATTAGATGTTATTACATTTCCAATAATAGAGAAGTACTTCTCATTTTATAAACAAGTAAATTCTAACAAAAAAAAAAAGTTTCATAATTAAATTCAATTGTGAAACTGTTTTCATTTATAATTTTATTATTAATTTATTTCATTATTTAATATTAATTTAAAATGTTTTTTATTCCAGGTATTTCAAGTGAAATTGAACAGAATGTCAAAAAAGTTTGGAGTTTCTCATAACTGTAATTCATTGCACAAATTGTGTGTCAATTCTAGAACAAAAAATGGTAAGGTTTTTTTTTTATTCCATTTTGAATATTAATTTATTTTTTATGATTTTTTTCTAAACATTCAAAAAAAATTTTTGTTGTAGAAAGTTCAAACAGTAATACAGACCAAACTTCCATCTCACGAAATGTACATTCCAGGACTTCTGGCAAAGATTCTGTCAATACTCCAAAGGAATCTTGCAATGCAACAACTTCTTTCACAGACATTCCCTGTCAAGCTTTCGGAACTAGTGGAATCAACAAAAGTATCTTTCCTAGACGACCAGACTTTGGTAAAGAGGGTCGACCCATACAAGTGAAAGTGAACTACTTTCCACTAAGTCTTCCAAGTGGTAATGTTTATCATTATGATGTGAAAATTACTATTTTAAACGATAAAAACAAAGAAACAATGAAAGCACCTAACAAACAAACCTGTCGTAAAATAATCAATAAATTATCAGAAAATTCTAAGGATTTTTCTGCTTGTATTCCTGCTTATGACGGAAAAGCAAATATCATAACAAGAAGCCAATTATTTTCTGACACAAAAGACTTTACAGTTGTGCTCGATAAAGATGGCCAGTATAATTCTAAACAATTTAAAGTTGTTATAACACCAACAAAAGAAGAACATGTCATAAATTTGGATACTTTGCATAGATTTTTTAAAGGCGAACCTGTAAAAGTTCCATTTAGAACAGTTATGGCATTAGACATCATAATGAAAACAGGATTAAATTTAAAATTAATGCCAGTTGGAAGATCATTATTCTACCAGCCAAGTCCAGATGACCTACATCCACTGGGAGGAGGGAGAGAGATATGGTTTGGTTACTACCAGAGTGTAAGACCTACTGCATGGAAGATGATGGTTAACATTGACAAAGCTGTTTGTGTCTTTCATGAAAGACAGAAAGTTTTAGATTTTATTAGCCAAACATTAAAGAAGAATATTGCAAACACATTTGACCAGTATACTATCAAGTCTGTGGAAAAAGAATTGAAAGGTTTGAAAGTAAGGGTTACTCATCAAAATATTCCAAGAAAATATAATGTGATTGGACTGACAAAAAAACCCTTATCAACATTAGTGTTTGAAATGAACAGAAATGACCAAACTTATGATATGAAGGTAGTAGATTATTTTAGGGAGCAGTATGGATTAGAATTAAAGTATAAATATCTTCCTGCACTTAATGTGGGATCCAAAGAGAAAGCAAAATATTTACCTCTAGAAGTTTGTGAAATTGTGGAAGGGCAACCATGTAAAAAGCAACTTGATGAACAACAGACCAGAAACATGATATTCCAAACATGCCAGCCTCCAGCTCAAAGATTCAAAGAAATAGAACAGGCAGCAGAAAATACCATTAAATATAACAAAAAATTTATGCAGGAATTTGATTTAAAAATGAGTACAACATGTGTTGATTTACCAGCTCGAGTCTTGGATCCTCCCCAAGTGATGTACAAAAACAATGAAACCAAAACTCCCAAAGATGGTGTTTGGGACATGAAGAATGTGCAATTTTACACCAGCATAAAAATACAAAATTGGATCTTGTTGAGTACCATTTACCGCAACTCTTGTAATGAGAAAGACTTACAAAATTTTAAAAAAATGTTGTGCAAAATAGGAGTAAGTATGGGCATAGAAATAGAAGATCCAAAGATCACAGATATTGTCTCAGTTGGCACTATTGTCGATAAGTTAAGAAAGTATGCAAAAGTCTGGAAATTAGATTTAGCAATTATTGTTTTGCCTAATAAGAACTCAACTATATATTCTGACATCAAAAATGTTGCAGAAACAGAAATAGGATTAAAGACTCAGTGTGTTAAAGAAAATACTATGAAAAAATGCAGAGATACAACAATTTATAATATTTTACAAAAAATAAATGCAAAAATGGGTGGCATAAATTGTGGACTCAGTTTATACAAAAAACCTAAAATATTCCAAAAACCAGTAATTATTTTTGGTGCCGATGTCACACATCCATCACCCGGAGATAAGACTTCTTACTCTATAGCTGCGGTAGTGGGAAGTCTTGATTCTCATCCTTCTCGTTATGCTGCAGCAGTGAGAATTCAGCAGCCCACCAAAGACAAAAGACATATAGAGATAATAGTACAACTGAAAGAAATGGTAAAAGAAATATTAAAACAGTTTTACAAAAACACAAAACAAAAACCCATCAAGATCATCTTTTATCGTGATGGAGTGAGTGAGGGTGAATTTAGTCAAGTCCAAAACAAAGAAATATCACAGATAAGACAGTCATGTATGGAATTGGAAGAAGATTATCAGCCAGGAATAACTTACATTGTGGTAGGAAAAAGACACCACACAAGAATGATGCCGAAGAATTACAATGACAGAGTTGGAAAAGCGGGTAACGTTCCTCCCGGCACCATCATAGATAATGGCATAACCCATCCAACTGATTTTGACTTTTTCTTGTGCAGTCATTATGGCATTCAAGGCACTAGTCGTCCTGCTCACTACACAGTACTCTGGGATGACAATGACTTCTCTTCAGACGAATTGCAGAAACTGTCATATTACCTGTGCCACATCTATGTTCGATGCACTCGCAGCATCTCCATACCCAGCCCCGTTCAGTATGCACATCTAGCGGCTGCTCGTGCCAAACAGCACCTGATCAGCAAGATGGATGTCAACAGTTCAGACAGTTCCAATGGTGATGCAACAGACTCTAATATAGATTTGGAGTTGCTTAAGGTGGTAAAAACTTTTATAAATTCCATGTATTTTGTGTAGAAAAACTATAGTTCAGGGGTCGCCAAACTATTTTGATCGTCAAGCCCCTATTTTGATTGTCGCCAAACTATTTTGATCGTCGTTTCGAAATCTCACATCAACCCCCACCAAAAACTTTGTGTTACAAGCAAAAAAAGCTGTTAGTATTTTAATATATATCTTTTAATCTTACATTTTTTACATTTATTGTACATATTTTAATAATAATTTTTGTAACTGACAATCAATAAGACGGATAAGCTTGATAATCATTAGTAATATTCGGTTCAAAATTTGTAAGTTTTAGTCTTTTAATCAATCCCCCAATAATGTTATATTGACCCCTGGGGTTGATATAGACCACTTTGGCTATATCAACCCCAGGGGTCAATGACCCCTGGGGTTGATATAGCAGGGGTCAATGACCCTGCTATAGTTCATTTATTTACAGATGTACAAAAAATATCTTTCTGTTGCTGATTAGTAATGAATTTCTGTGCATCAGTTAGTTAATTTGAATACATTTTTTTAAAAGTTTTCTGTTATGCTGTTGTCATATTTTATTATTTATATTCAAAGAGGTATTCTGTTATAATGCATTATTTATTCTTAAAATAAAATTACAACTTTTTGAATAATAATTTGTTAGTCTTAAAATCTTGATTTATTGTAACACATGCCTCGAAGTGAATCACTTCTGACTGAAATTACTTCGAATTCAAATTCCTTTTTCCTAATATTTTCTTCAAAAATTTCACTCGATTTTCTAAATAAAAATTTAGAAGCCTCTGCAAAATATATTTTCTAAATAAATTCCTTAAAAATATCCTAAATTCTTGCAAAATAATGTCAATTCATTAATAATTAATACAATTAATTTACAAGAACATACAAAAGTTTATGAAAGCATTGAGTTATATTGTAAACTGATTATAGATTATTTTTTAATTTTAGTTTTTTTTTAAAGATATTTTAATATTCAATATGACTTAAGTTGAATGTATAGAATAATAAAAACATCTTACACAACAAGTACCCTCGTATATATATATTATTTAAGCACTGCCCCACTGTTTTCCCTATAACACGAAATCGAAAGGGAGAAAAATGATATATTTAACTGATAGAAATGGATAAGAAAGCAAGTTAGAAATGATCTTTTTAAATAAAACTGTTCGTGTTAGAACGATAAAATTTAAATATACTTCAATATCCAGTTTATTAGCAACATTTATGTAAAACCAGTTAAAAGGCCCGATGCAGGGACTAAATAGCTTGCATAGCAACGATAAATAATTACAAATGGTTTACCTAAAGTGCAGAGAGTTCGGCAGAACACTGTTGAAAGTGAACTGCCCATAACTATGGTCATGCACTATGACGTACTGTACATCGCTATATCCAATTCTTTTTTGAATAACAGCAAGCAGCATGCCGAAACCGTCAAGCACACTGGCGTCTAATTACCGAAAGATTCCGTAGCCGTAGTTCTGTTTTTTACCACGGGATGTCTCTACTTCGTGACGTCAAGAAGCTGGACAAACATAATTCTGACTGTGGTGTAAGAAATAATTTATTACGAACAAAATTTGCTACTGTTCGTTTGTTGAACGTAAAATTTGTCTTTTGTCTAATGTTTATTCTTTATACAGTATTATAGCTTTAAAGGATGATTATTGTTCATTATTTTTATCAAAATATTTAAAATTATATAGTATATTATAAAAGTTATTCTACAGAATATGTAGACTTTCGTTCTTAAATTCTTTTAATTTCAAGATTTTCCTGCTGAATTTTCAATCTCACTCGAATTTTTTTTTTTTTTTTTTTTTTTTTGTAATATTTAATAAAATTATTTATTGCTTTCTAGAAATAATTTAAACGTTTTATATTAGAAAATTTGCAATACAGTATTTTATTTTACAATTAACATGTATCTTTGAAATGTTCCACAAAACCAAACGCAATTTTCTCCATAGGCATCCTTATTTAATTTTCACGAGATTTTAAATAACCTAACCTTGGCGAATACCAAGAGTAAAGTGTATCTTGTGTAATTTGGGTAAAGTCTTTTGAATTGGTAGTTTAAATCCATCAACAAATTATCGCCAGTAAAATATTAGTGAACTTTTTGTAGCCTGATTTGACAGATCTGCAATGATTTATTTGAACGTTAGCTAAGAAAAAATGCTATTCATAAGAAAGATGTTTTCTTTATGAAAAAGATTTATTGAAAATTATACATTTGCAACATTTTCATATACACAATCTGTTATTGAATGTTTTCCTTTTGTAAGTACATTTCTGATTTGAGCGTAGTCGTGATCCCATGTGCCGAAGCCGCACGAGTAGAATTTATAAATTCCGTGAATTTTTAGACAGTACGACACAGTTATCTTTAGTTGGTTCTCAACTTATCTGTGGCTTCCCATTCGTAGAAATCTATCAAATACAGTACATAATATTTTTATTTACAACCCTGAATGAGCTGTTAATATTCATGAAAACAATTATTTTAAGATATATTAATTAAATACAGCATTTTCAAAATTTCGGAACAGAATTTACTTACCCTTCATAGTTTTGAATTCCAGCTTCTCAATTTCACAGGCAAATCCAGGTACAGTACTTTCTCCAATGTTCACGTAATCGAAAAAAAGTAGAAAATCCTTCAGAACATGAAGTCTCACGACAGAATATAGACCAGGGGTGGCAAGCAAGAGTTCAGTGGGAGCCGAAATGTAGGTTTTGCAAATTGCATGGGAGTCGCAGTTCTGTACTTTTTTATTCTGTACCGCGATTTTATTATATAATATAAATATAATATAAAACAAATATTGAATTTTTTTAATCTTTGTTGTTATTTTCGCCCGGGCAACGTCGAGCTCATCTGCTAGTAAATAACTAAAATTATATGTAGCGTCATCTGTAATGAGATCTTGTTTTAAAATGTTTGCTATTTTATAATAATTAAAAATATATTAAACTCAATTTTGAGGGTAGAGATGAATCTTCATTAAGTCTGACCCATGCGAGATATGACAATGATCATCCTTTATCTCTCCATTCCCTTGAACTTTCACAACCAAAATTTAATAGCATCAATACCCCTTATATGCAAGCTACCATGCCAAATTTCGTTTCTTTATCTTCATCTCATCTTGAGACATTAAGCAAAATAGACGCCAACACATACAGCCACGAAATATTTTTTGTCTTTTTTTTTTTTTTTTACTTTTTTGGGTTCAGGAAATCTCAAAACATGGAGATTCGCAAAAACTCTGACGATCAAATTTGACACGATTCCAATACTGTATTTTCCCTTGTTATGTATAAATAACAGCCGGGAAAGTAAAAGAATGACATCTATAATTCTTTGGAATAGTAATTTTAGACGTCTCGTTTCTTTGTTTATATTAATTTCATTTGTTCCGTCAACAGTCGAACATATTTTGTAGCCACGAAAACAAATCTACATGTGACTTTTTGAGATTTTGTTTTTCTTCGTTTTTCTCTTCTGCTAGTGTCCTTTTTTTTGACACCCAGAAGGATACTTTGTTGGCATGGACATTATGGGCTCTAATAACATTAAATATTTTTATTCCATGAATTAACAAAAAGTTAAATATACCTTTACAATATTACAAAATTTAGCAATACAATGAATGTGTTTATTTTGTTCGTTTGTTTTTCTTCAATACTTCAGTTTCACCCTTATCTATCAACGGAACTGAAATTAACGTAGTTGAGAATCCCCAGAATTCTCCGATTCGTATTACGAAAACTAGAGAGCCTATAATGAGAGAGTGGCCGTACGAACAGTTGCCGCCATGTCCTATCCAAACTGTTCATTTAGTGGCAGCCACGTACAGTACTATACTTAGTTGGGAAAATGGAAATAATCTTGCACACTTATTTAAATGGAAATTCGGGAAGAGGAAAATAAATATCGTTTTCGAGTTTTAGAATTAATTGTTACTATTATTATTTGTTTATTTACCATACTATTTAATAATTTTTGGAATTTGTTTATGACGAACACGCGACGAGTGACAAGCCAATTACAGTCGGCTCCCGTATAACACTGTTGATTTTTCCGTTTTATATGAATTCCATGTTGTACGAGTCACTTAGATTTTACAAATACGTGAGCCGTTCACAGCCCGGCATATGTATTTTTCCTTTTTATATACAGTCGACCTTCCTATAACACTTTCTTTTTTATATAAATTCCATGTTGTGTTACAACATGGAATTCATATAAAAAAGAAAGTGTTATAGGGGGGTCGACTGTATTTTATTTTTTATATTCTGAATGTTAAATAATGGTAAAAATTAAAGTTGTTTTATGTTATGCTCTAAAAATAGATTAAATAAACGTGACAAAATGATACGAAACGTTTCGCCTAATCACCAGGTAAACTAATTATATACGTTATTATATAAGAACCAAAGAAATTAATTTTTATTTAATTCGTTACTTTTATATAATTTTGTATAGAAAAATATCCACGACATCCACGAACCCCGTGTCTACAGTAAATCAGTCATAAAATGTCTACAGTATATAGTTATATCATTACAGTAATTATTAAAAAACAAATTATATTTTAATAATTATATAATTATTTAAAAAATGGAAATTAACATAATTTCATATTTTTAGATAATATGCACATTACTGCATTTTTAATCCAAAGAACATTTTTTAACAGAACTTTACATTTATTTTCTTTTTTCTTTTTTAAACCAAAAAGTTTAAGTCTAAATGTTATAAAACGATTCATTATTTTTATTTTAATGTTGTGGCATTCTTTAAAATGAATTTTCTGAATTTCAAAATCGGAATTTATAATATCAATTAAGAAATCCTTACAGTTTAGTTTCTTCTTTAAAAGAACATTCTCCAAGGATCTGAATTTTGTATACAGGATGTTTATAAATGAATGGTGCGGTTTTAAAAATTAATAATATATCTATTTATTACCTTACTAGCAAACCCCGCCACGCGTTGTTGTGGCTCAAAATGTATCTATTATAAATGTATAACATTTCCCCCGTGGGGGGAAATTTTTCGAAAAATCCCTTCTTAGTGTACATTCTCTTGACGTACCCTATTAAAACGCAATCAAAAACGCAAAAACCCGCATCTAAAATAATATAATAGAAGCCAAGTTCTTCACGGTAAGCCTTAATTCTGTCTCTCTCCCCCGCGGGGAATATCGAAAAATCCCTTCTTAGTGTACATTCTGTTGACGTACCCTATTAAAACGCAATCAAAAACGCAAAAAACCGCATCTAAAATGGTATAAATAGAAGCAGAGTTCTTTACGGTAAGCTTTAATCCTAACCATCTCCCTTCAG